TAAAAAAAATAAGATAGTGTCGCTGGCGCGTTTTTGAATTCCCTTTGCTTATAGTAACAATGAATGCAGACTCAGTTCAGGAACTTAATCTATTCCACCAACTGATGGAATAAGTTCAGGTGAAGATAAAGCCTTGCACGAGTAATTTATTCAGAGGATTAAAATATGCATATGATTAGCAGCATTTAGAAAAACTATTGACATCCTTCTTAAACAATGGCTGTTGCTAATTTTGTTACAATGCTGCCCTCTGCTGGTCAGCCCAAAGCATTTTCAAATGTATTTTTCTATTGTGTTCTAGCTTGGTTAAAAGTATTAGATGCAAGTGTGTAAGTGTGGATTTATGCATAACAACACCTGACTGGTAGAACGGAGCATGTTCAGAACAATCAGCAAACAAGCAGTGGGGATGCAGAGAATTAAACCTTTTTTTAATGAAGAGTTAATGTTTAATGAAGAGAAGGACAAGGGGGGACATGATGGCAGTGTTCCAGTATCTCAGGGGCTGCCCCAAAGAAGAGGGAGTCAAACTATTCTCCAAAGCGCCTGAAGGCAGGACAAGAAGCAATGGGTGGAAACTGATCAAGGAGAGAAGCAATCTAGAACTAAGGAGAAACTTCCTGACAGTGAGAACAATTAACCAGTGGAACAGCCTGCCTCCAGAAGCGGTGAATGCTCCAACACTGGAAGTTTTTAAGAAGAGACTGGACAGCCATTTGTCCGAAATGGTATAGGGTTTCCTGCCTGAGCAGGGGGTTGGACTAGATGACCTCCAAGGTCCCTTCCAACTGTATTATTATTATGGATCATCGCACAGTCAGCCAGATGTTCAGACTGGATTTGGCATTTTGTCTACCTCTTGAGTCCTTCCCAAGGACCTGGAATAGGCAGATGTGGATGTTTGATGGTATTACAGATATCGTCGTAGGATGGAAGAAGTTATTATTATTATTATTATTATTATTATTATTATTATTATTATTATTATTATTATTATTATTATTATTATTATTTATGAAGACTATCGGGTGAAGATGTAAGACACATATTATTAACTAACATATTATGAAAATACAGAAACTAATTATTACTGATTGTTTTTCTAAACACATTTATTTATTTATTTATTTATTTATTTAACTTATATGCCGCCCTTCTCCCCATGGGACTCAGGGCGGCTCACAGCATATTAAAAACAATACAAAACATTTCCCCTGTAAAAGCCAATTAAAAACCAAATATTTATAGCTGTGTCTTATTAAAATCATTAAAATTGTCCCTATTTAAAAATTCACCCTAGGTCAGTCCCNCGAAGCGAAGGTTGGAGACCGGGCGATAGTTGGCCAACTCGTCTGGGTCCAGGGAAGGCTTCTTGAGGAGGGGCCTCACCACGGCCTCCTTTAGGGCCGCCGGGAAGACACCCTCCTGCAGAGAAGCGTTAACAATTCCCTGGAACCAGGCTCGTGTCCCCTCCCGAGCTGCCAGTACCAGCCAGGAGGGACACGGATCCAAACAACATGCTGTTTGCTAAATGTTAGAGAATGTTATTTTACATATATATATATATATATATATGTATATGTATATATGTATATGTATATGTATATATGTATATGTATATGTGTGTATATATATGTGTGTGTATATATGAGTGTATATATATGTATGTGTGTGTGTGTATGTATATGTATATGTGTGTGTATACACACACACACATATATAAATGCAACATAAAATAATCATATTTATTCGTATGTCGTATGGCCAATCCATCTCAAGAGGGATGTGTTCTTTCCCTCCCTCCTTCCCCCCCCCCGCTTCCCGGCTAGCAAAGAGGTTGGGCTTTCCTTGTGGCCTCCCAGCCCTCCCCGCCCCTTCTTCCCTCCTCCTCCCCCCGCCCAAAGGCTTCCCGGGTGGGGAGGGCAACCCAAGGCTGCAGCCGCGAAGCTCCCGGACGGCTCGCCCTCTCGGGGAGCCCGAAGCGCTCCGCGGCGGAGAGAGGAAGGCAGGCAGGCAGGCGGGGCGGCTCGGCCATCGGGCGGGGCTTTGCTTTGGCCAGCAGGGCGGCGGCGGCTTTTTCCTGCGCCCCCCCTCCGCCCTCCCCGAGCCCGGCCAGGAAGGGGAGCAGATGGGACCCCGTCGGAGCCGGGCAGGAGAAGCCTGAGAAGCCAGCCGAGCCAACTTGGCGCAAAGTTCCCCAGGTCCAGCCGAGGCTGCTCAGCTGGTAAGGCGGGGGAGGGGGTCTCGTCTTCCCTCTTGGGGTCCCCCCCTTATTTTTTGGGGGGTGGGGGTCCCCTTCCCTGGTTGGGTGGGGGGATCCTTCCTTCCTTCCTTCCTTCCTTCCTTCCTTCCTCTGGAAGCCCTTGGCTCAAAGACCAGCCTTGCCTCTTCTGTTCCTTTGTTCCTCCCAATCGCGCGATTGTGGGTGGGTGGGGGGGCTTGTCCTCCCCCTTTCCAGGCGGGACTACAACGCCCATGGGGCCCGGCCCGCGCCCGTAGGGAAGCCTGAAGGGCGGCGGGTCGGAAGACCCCCCCCCATTCTTCCCCTTTGGAAGTTGGGGGCGTTTTTTGGGGCGTGGGAACCGCGCTGCTGCTGCTGGAGGCGCTCCGGTTTCGGGCTGGTTTCGAACCGCGGTTCGAGGTTCGTTGCGGGATCCGGGTGGGTTTCTTTGTTTTTTGTTTTTTTTTGTTTTTTTGACCTCTTTTCGCCTCTCTCTCCCCCCGCCGGAGCTTCTTTGCCCCCTCCTCCCTCTCTCTACCTGGCCTGCTGGAAATCCAACCTGTAACTTCCTCATCCTGGATGCTTGTGGATTTGATCCTGTGGGTCGCCTTGTTGAACGTGGGAAAACGCAGCCCTGACCTTCCTTAAAATATTTCCCCACTTCCTGAGTTTCCTCGAAACCTCCACCTGCCCGGTCCTGTCTCCCTTTTATAAACTCTTGAATCATCTACTGGGATTCAGAAGCAACTTTCGGATAAGGAATAGAATAGAATAGACTACAGCTGGAAGGGGCCTTGGAGGTCTTCTAGTCCATCCCCCTGCTCAAGCAGGAGGACCTATACCACACTCAGACAGGTGATTGTCTAGCGTCTTCTTAAAAACCTCCAGTGATGAAGCGCCCACGGTTTCTGGTGGCAAGCTGTTCCACTGGTTAATTGTCCTCACTGTTAGGAAGTTTTCTCCTTAATTCCAGGTTGCTTCTCTCTTTGGTCAGTTTCCAACCATTTTTTTTTCTCGTCCTGCCCTCTGGTGCTTTGGAGAATAGTTTGACCCCGCTCTTCTTTGTGGCAGCCTCTCACATCCTGGAAGTTTGGTACCTGTCCTGGCAGAGATCTGGAGGTGATCAGGTCAGACTCTGGTGGCTTCTTTATGCTCTTGTTATTTTCTCTGAATTACCATCACCTTGCATGAAGATCTCTGCTCCCTTAGCCCCCCCTCCACCAAAATAATAACAATAAGAGTAATCCTGTGAGTTGGGTTGGGCTGAGTGAGAAGAAACCTAGCTGGATGGGGGGGGGGCAGGGGAAGCTCTCTGAGTAAACAAGTAACTCAAATCTGCATATATATTTTTTTGTTCTGGTCCAGTTCCAATCCGTTGTCTTGGTCCAGTTCCAATCCGTTGTTCTGGTCCAGTTCCAATCCAACTAAGATGATTAAAGGCCTGGAGACTTAAAACATATGAAGAATGGTTGCAGGATTTGGGAATGGCCAGTCTAGAGAAAAGAAGGACTGGGGGGGGGGACATGATAGCAGTATTACAATATTTGAGGGGCTGCCACAAAGACGAGGGGGTCAACTTATTCTCCAAAGGACCAGAGGGCAGGACAAGAAGCAACGGATGGAAACAAATCAAGGAGAGAAGCAACCTGGAATTAAGGAGAAAGTTGCTAACAGTGAGGACAATTAACCCGTGGAACAGCTTGCCTCCAGAAGTCGTGGGCGCTCCATCACTGGAGGTTTTTAAGAAGAGACTGGACAGCCACTTGTCTGAGATGGTAGAGGGTCTCCTGCTTGAGCAGAGGGCTGGACTAGAAGACCTCCAAGGTCCCTTCCAGCTCTATTCTGATCATTATAGTTATATTAATTCCAAAAATCCACTCAATAGTTCTTATTAATTCCCAAAATCCACTCAATATTTCCTATTAATGCCCAAAATCCACTCAATAATTCCTATTAATTCCAAAAATCCACTCAATAGTTCCTATTAATTCGAAAAATCCACTCAATATTTCCGTTGCAGTCCCATTAGTAAGTTTAGGGGAGTCTCGCGATTTCTCAGCTGTGCACCTCCTAATTTTGCAAAGCTCTGGGGTCGCCTGGCTCATCTGCAGAAGTGGGTGCAGGGCCCACCATTTCATGGAAGTGGAATTTGATTCTGTTCTGCCCTGTTCGACAGGGAGGGTGATAGACAGACTCGATCAGGTCCTAGAGGTTGAAAGGGCTGTTCTGGCCGTCCTCCACATGACCACAGTTGGTAAGCCAAACCATTGTTAAGTGGGTTTCAACCCATTTTACGACCTTCCTTGCCCCAGTTCTTAAGTGACTCCCTGCAGTTAAGTTGAGAAATGGGCTGATCAGTTTTGACACAGATGGCCTCTTTGACCCCTCTTTCAAACCAACGGTCCTCTCTGTCCGAAATATGGACCTTGCTGTCTTTGTCTTTTAAATTCGGATGGACTGCTGAATCTTGTTCTGATGGTTTTGTTCTCCTATTGTGCCCTGCGTTTGTGAAGTGGTTGTTTCGTTTCCCCAACTTGCACGGTTCTTGATCTGTTCTTGCTTCTTGTTGAATGACTGATTACTTGGGTTGAAAGCACTGCCGTTCAACTGCAGTGTGTTGCAGCTGACTTTAAAAAATAATAATAACCTGATGTGGGAACTTCATGCAGAACCTCCTAATCCTTTGAATCTGGAGAAAGTGTTGAGGATCTTTGTGTACGGGACAGTGTGTGCTTTTAGATCTGTCTCCTTCTCTTTTACTGGGTCCAGTAGATCCGCTGCTTTTTCTTCAGAACTGGAGGGGTCTGGTGGAGGACAAATAAATTATTTTCTCCCATCCGTAGCTGTTTGATAGAATTTTTTTTTTTTTTAACACCGGAAAAAGGCCAACAAAGCTGACGTGAAACTCACAGATAGGCTGCAAGTTGAACTGTTGATTACTTCTGTAGATTTCCAATGTTGATTATTAAATATGGTAGTGGGCCCACCAGCAGCTATAGTTTTGAGGATTTTATTGTAGATCGGAACCGGAAACTAAATAAAATCCTGTAGTAGTTACTTTCATTTATTTGTTTCAGTCACTGAGAGGCTGACTCTTTATGCCTCTTAGTATTCATTTTGTTTTGTTAATCAAGACTTAAAAGCTACAAGAATTGGATGTCCTCAGGAGCATCTAGAGCGCCAGTTTGGTCTAGTCCAGGGGTAGGCAACCTTGGCTCTTTTATGACTCGTGGACTTCAACTCCCAGAATTCCTGAGCCAGCCATGCTGAGGGGAAAGGGAGAGGTTTCCAAGCTGAGCCATGCTGGCTCAGGAATTCTGGGAGTTGAAGTCCACCAGTCATGAAGGGCCAAAGTTTCCCTCATGCTGGCTCAGGAATTCTGGGAGTTGAAGTCCACGAGTCATGAAGGGCCAAAGTTTCCCTCATGCTGGCTCAGGAATTCTGGGAGTTGAAGTCCACGAGTCATGAAGGGCCAAAGTTTCCCTCATGCTGGCTCAGGAATTCTGGGAGTTGAAGTCCACGAGTCATGAGGGGCCAAAGTTTCCCTCATGCTGGTTCAGGAATTCTGGGAGTTGAAGTCCACGAGTCATGAGGGGCCAAGGTTTCCCTCATGCTGGCTCAGGAATTCTGGGAGTTGAAGTCCACGAGTC